TAGTCAAAATGTATTAGATCTATTATTTACTGATATCTGGGGCCCAGCTCCTGTAGTGTCGAATAGTGGCTATCGCTATTTTTTATTGTTTGTTGATGACTTCACACGGTTTACCTGGTTTTATCCATTACGGGTAAAATCAGATATCTATAAAAGTTTTGACTCGTTTCGTCTGTTGGTAGAGCGGCAGTTCTCGCGCTCTATCAAGTCAATCCAATCAGATTTAGGGGGTGAATACAGAAAATTACATACAACCTTTGAATCCTTGGGAATTGAACATCGGCAGTCTTGCGCATATACGCATGAACAAAACGGAAAAGTTGAACGCCGTAACAGACACATTGTCGAAACGGGGTTAGCTCTTCTTGCTCAAAGCTCTGTCCCGCAAGAATATTGGGACTACGCTTTTGAGACTGCCACCTGTTTAATTAACTACCTTCCCACCTCAGTCTTAAAGTTTGAAAGCCCATACTATCGCCTCTACAAAAAATCACCCCCTTACCAATTTCTTCGTGTCTTCGGGTGCCAATGTTACCCTCATCTACGGCCGTATAATCGGCACAAGATGGAGTATCGTTCCACTCCGTGCGTCTTCCTAGGTTACCCACCGTCCTATAGGGGATATAGATGCATGGATCCAATCAGTGGGAAAACCTATATCTGTCGCCATGTGCGATTTGACGAGAATGTGTTTCCCTTTGCAACAGGTTCTGTGCAGGCTCATGAATCTACACCTGCGTCTCTGCCTTGGGCATCCGCACCCGTGTCACCGGTGCAATCTTGTCAACTTATGCCAACTTCGGACCCTGAACCGGTCCCACTGGCCCAAGAAGCACCTTTGTTGGCTATTGAGCCAAGTGCACCACGACGGGGCCGGAAACGGACCACTGTCCAACCTCTGGCTATGCGCCTCCGGCGTATGACTCGGGGTAATAATGAAGAATTTCATGCTCTAACTGCAACAACTGATCCAACATGCTACTCCCAAGCTGTAGGTCATCCACAGTGGCGTGACGCAATGGATCAAGAGTTCAATGCTCTTCTTCACAACAACACATGGCGATTAGTTCCCCCGTACCCAACCATGAACATCATTGGGTGCAAATGGGTCTTCCGTACGAAACGGACTGCCGATGGCTCGATTGAACGCTATAAAGCTCGGTTAGTAGCCAAAGGCTTCAATCAAGTCGCAGGGGAGGACTTCTTTGATACGTTCAGTCCGGTTGTCAAACCCACGACTGTCCGCATCTTATTTTCGTTAGTTGTCTCGAAAAATTGGACACTACGTCAGCTGGACGTCCACAACGCCTTCCTGAATGGCCATTTAGCCGAGACGGTATACATGAAACAACCTCCCGGATATGAAGATCCAACACATCCCGATCACGTCTGTCTTTTGCAGCGGTCTCTATATGGGCTCAAACAGGCCCCAAGGGCCTGGTTCAAGAGACTACATGATTTTTTGCTAACTGCAGGTTTTGCATCATCCAAAACTGATGTCTCATTATTCTACCACTCGGCGGGTGCATCTAAAGTCTTTTTACTCGTCTATGTGGATGACATCATCATGATGGGATGTGACGCCGCCTTAGTTGAGTCCTTGCTACGGCGTCTTGCATCGGCATTCAACATTAGGGACCTTGGCACACATGGGTTCTTCTTGGGCATCGAGACAGTCTCGACTACTGGCGGGATGATTTTGTCACAGCATCGGTACATGGTGGATTTACTTCATCATTCTGGGATGACAGATTGCAAACCACTTACTACCCCGGCATCCATTACACAAGCCGTCACACCGTCCGAGCAGCCTTTTGAAAACCCTACGCAGTATCGGCGGATTGTTGGCGCCCTGCAGTACTTGACTATCACTCGACCGGATCTCGCATATGCTGTCAATCGCCTATGTCAATTCATGCACTCTCCTACTGACGACCACTGGGCAATGGTGAAACGTGTCTTGCGTTATATCAAGGGCACTCTTCATTACGGGCTCCGATTCTCTCCTTCCGCTTCTAGTGACATCCACGCCTACTCCGATTCTGACTGGGCTGGGTGTCCGGTAGACAGGAAAAGCACCAGTGGCTATGCCGTCTTTCTCGGAAGTAATCTTGTTTCCTGGCTCTCCCGGAAACAGCGCACCGTAGCTCGCTCTTCCACTGAGGCGGAGTATAAAGCCCTAGCTGACGTTGCTGCTGAAGTCACCTGGATGGTATCGCTGTTACAGGAACTTGGGTTACACACTGGGCACCCCTCCCACTTATGGTGTGATAATCTTGGTGCGACGTACTTGTGTGCTAATCCTGTGTTCCATGCTCGGACGAAGCACGTTGAGATAGACTACCACTTTGTTCGTGACAAGGTGGCCTCCGGCGGTTTCGTGGTCAACTTCGTCTCCACCAAGGATCAGCTAGCCGATATTCTCACCAAACCACTTCCTGGACCTCGGTTTACAGCTCTCCGAGACAAGCTCAACATTGTGAATCATCAATCTTGTGCTTGAGGGGGTGTATTAGTGTTACTATTATTATTATTATTTGATTACATGTAACATAGTTAGTATTTGTGTGGTTCTAGAATTAGTCTTATAGTTCTAGTCTATTAGTCAGGAGTGTTTAGTGGTGAGACTAGATATACTCACGTGTAATTGGTTTCAGTTTGAATTGAATGAATTATCTTTTCTAATCCTAGGTAAGGGGTTATGTATGTATCATATATTAATTTGATGAAGTAGTAATTTATGCATAACAATAATATAAAAATGATAAAAATATAACTTTATTAAATATAAAATACACTTAGAAGTGGAGTTCGGGGATGTTTGTGGGAGGTAGACTCTGTCCCCACCATTTTTTTTTTTCTTTTTGTAGTACTATGTATATATGTGTATATGTAGATACCATGTGTATAAATATGTGTAAATGTATAACTTTGACTACCTTAAAAAAATGTAAATCATTACTAATATTGTCGATTAAAAAAGTAATAACGTAACCAATTGGTTGGTCAAGTTCGATCAAATTAGAATATATAGAAATGGTTGTACTATATTACTTTAGGAAGTTAAAATTAGGAATAATATAGTTGTATTATTTTATTCAATTAAAGAATACTAGTTACTTCGCATCTTAAGTTAAATTATAATTTGGAATGATTTAGTATATAATTTAATAGTTGTACTATTACATTCAATTTAGTAATGTATTTATTTCAAAAAATATCAAATTATTGTTAGATCTTAACCATTAGCTACTTCTTCTTTTTCATTTTATAAGTCTGATTTATTAACCATTGCTTAATCAATATGTAGCTACTGTTTTCCGTGCGATCATACAACTTTGCACCTCTATTCTTCACATACTTCACTCCTATGACCAATTGAGCTGTCAATGCGGACTTTGCACTTCTATGTATGCATAAATACACCACCACATGTTCAGAAATTCATTATTATAAATTTTACTGTTGTGAACTCGCTAGAATTTAAACATTATAGCAAATTGCATTAATATACTTATTATGAACTCAATCCATTATTGTTGTGAGCTCGCTAGAATTCAAACATTATAGCAAATTTCATTCACATGGAGTGAAAGCAAGTTATACCAAAAGTTTCAACTCATCTAATTAGGTAAGTTGACGTTTATCACATATGAACTACTCCTTATATGTTTATGAACAAGTGGACAACCCCCAAGTGCATGTCTTCATTAATAATTGTCTTGTTCGTGGATTATAGTGTGAATGATATTGTCTTTAAGTAAAATTAGTTTATTTTCTATTTTAGGATATGAAAAGAGTCATACACCCCATTGAATTAATTCTTATGTCTTTTTCAATAATAAACTACACACAAAACACATAAAAATATGATAAGATTGTGATAAATAATACAAACTTTTCTCTTATTGCTCTAGAATTAGTAGATTTGGTCAGATAGACAGCTAGAGATTGGTTCTTTATTTTTTATGGAGTTAATTTCAGAAATGGTCCATTGATTATTGACTTTTGCCAATATTAACTTTCAATTGGACCATAAATGGTTCATGAATTATTGATCTTTACTAATTTTTGTCATCGACTTTCAATATGCATCATAAATGATCCTTTTGCTATTGATTTTGTTCTAAATTTGGTCATTCAGTTAAATATTCATTTAATAAACATTAAATTTAAGAATAATAATGTAAAAATTATCTTGTTGTTGAGATGGACAAATTGATTTCATAAATTTAATACATTGAGTTCATCATTGTGAAGAACTACAACTTTTACATTATTACCCTTAGTCAAGGGGACACTTATGGTTAATTTAAAAGTTGAGGATGAAAATTGGTAAAGATCAATAGTTAAGGGAGCATTTATGGTCCAATTGAAAGTCGAAAGGTAAAAATGAGTAAATAACAATAGTCAAGGGACTATTCTTGAAATTAACCCTTTTTTTAACTAGGAACAAATTCTTGTATGTATGTATTTGTATATATATATATATATATATATATATATATATATATAGTGTTACAAAAATCGCGCATAGGCACTAGGCCGTCGGTCTCCTAAGCGTCCGCCTAGATGCTCTAGGCGGTCCTAAGCGCCCTCTAGGCGCCTTCTAACAGCTACATTGTTTGCGAAATTGCCTGCGATGATATTAAAAAATCACCATAAATATCCAACTAACAATGATTACAATTCAATAAACATTAAAACAGTGTTTTGAAACATTTTAAGTTGACTAAAATCAACCAATAATCATAAATAATAAACAGCGTAAATTTATTTTTTTTGAAAGTATAAACAGCGTAATTCATCCCATTCAATTCTTATATTAGTATGGGCGTTCACAAATATGCTTTGACTGATTATATTTTTCGTTTCGCTTTTTCTTAAACCTTCTTGAAACAAGAACGCATTTACTAACCTCGTTGCCACAGTTGAAACTCTCACCTCTATTTATACCCAACAATGTTTAGCCAAAACCCCAAAACTCATCTCTCTCTCTCTCTCTCTCTATATTATCTCTCTCATCAGAACAAAAACGGCGGCATGGCTAATGTATTGAATGAAGACCAAATCATGGAGTTTCAAGAAGCTTTCAGTCTATTTGACAAGGACGGCGATGGTTAGTATATATATATATATAACTTTCGATCTAAAAATTGTTGTCTTTAATATGTTTCATAGTATTTATGTGGTTGGGTTTGTATATTACATAGGCAGCATTACTGTGGAGGAATTGGCAACAGTTATCAGGTCGTTAGATAAAAACCCAACAGAGGAAGAACTGCAGGAAATGATGAATGATGTTGATACAGGCTCTAATGGAGCCATTGAGTTCAAAGAGTTCTTGAACGCCCTATCCAAAAGAATGGAGGTAATATAACCTTAAAAACACCTAAAAAAATGTTTGGTCTTTAACATAAGGTCATATTTCTTTAGTCTGGCGTAAACTGAAAAACTTAATATATCAAAATGTGTGTAGGACACAGATTCAGAAGAGGAACTTAAAGAAGCTTTCAAGGTCTTTGACAAGGATCAAAATGGTTATATTTCCGCTAACGAGGTGAGTTCCAACTTGTACTGGTATCGAGTCTGTCTTTAATTTCAAGATTTCTTTTTTGTATATTGTACTGGTATTGAGTCTGTCTTTCAAGATAGCAGGAACTTTTGACCTTACAATTACGTAGAAAAGAGGGTTTTGTGCAATAAAGCATTGCATTTGAATTCATCAAACATCATGGGAAAGCTCAGCAGTTCACATGTGATTATGTAAATTGATCTGTCATTAACCTTAAAATAATCAAAGCTTTTACAGTACAGTTGTATTATTAACCCTTGTTTATTTGGACATCTGTGTAAACCCATCTCTCGTGCATTGAACTTTTCCTGCATTCATACTTATCGATGCTCTTTTATATTGACTTTTATTTTTTCACCAAATAATAATAATCCAATAAATAATTATTATTTTTTGCAGTTGAGAAACGTGATGATAAATCTGGGGGAAAAACTAACAGAAGAAGAGGCAGAACAGATGATCAGAGAGGCTGACCTGGATGGAGATGGTCAAGTCAATTATGACGATTTTGTTAAGATGATGATGAATGTTGGATAGGGAGGATTAATGTATGCATGGTTCATTAATCCTATGTGGTCAACACATAATTATAAATTCAAATCTTTCTTTAATTATTTCCTAATTATTAGCAACTGGTTTAGAATTTGTTTACTGTAGTTGTTGTTCTTGACATTTCTTTGTCGTTTTAATGTCCAAGAAAATAGGATCATTTTCCTTAAAATGTTCGGAGATGTACTCCGGCCTCCCTGTATTTTATTTTTTAACTTAAAGAATGAAAAGAAAAAAAAAATTATTTAAATAATTTTAAACATAATCTTTTTAAATAAACATAATATTGACACTTAAACAAAACGAATGAATAATTATCGATTTTTTAAAATAAAAATAAAAATAAAAATAATAATAATTATTATTATTATTGTTAATTTATTATTATTATTATTATTGGGTCAAAACCATTTGTGTCGAAAGTGTCCCCTGGATATGTGTGCACCTAGAGAATCAAACTTGGAATTCGGTAATAAATATGTATAGTTGAATCCATTGTAGCACTGGTTAATAAATTTGTTTCTTTCTTTCCTTTCTGGTTGTCATATTGAAATACTAAAACAATTAATATAAATAAATATTTAAAGAAAAAAATACTACTTGTATAGTTCTATTAATTCGATCAGAACATGGTAATCTCCTTATGTGATAGGATCACTTTAATATTAAGGAAAAATCTTCTGAGTTTTCATAAGTATTATACTTTTTTTTTAATAAGTAATAACATTTGTTATAAGTAATTCTTAATTCATAATGTTACATTTATCATCAAAAAGTATTATATTTTTTTTTTATAAATATTACATTTTTTTTCTCATAAGTAACAACCAATCAATTTATGGTTTCTCTTATAAGTAACAATCAATCAATTTATACATAATTAGTATTACATTTTTCAACGTAACATAATTATTACATTTTCATATTGATCCAACTAATCTCGTAGATACAAACACACACATGCATATGTTATTGCAAAAGTAAATAATGTTATTAGGGAACGATATTGTACTATCTTATATTATTATTAGAAATTTTAACGTGTCGGTCAGTGCCTACCGAACTATAAGGACCAAATATTGAAAATATCAATATTATCTAAATAGTATATATGATTATATCAATACAGAAAGGGCCAATATTGACACTATACACATTCCTATACCATTATATACGCCAATTGTTGTTTTTTTTTTTTTTTTTAGATGTACTCATGGTTTTCACCGTTGGACACAGTGACTAATTTTTTGGTTGAATTGTAGACACATCTTTTTAGGTGTGACGTCAACTGACTTAGAGATTTAAGTCTACTCCATACCCAAAGCTAAGAATTATCGAATCCTTGACCTTTAGTTAAAGATTGATTGGCCCTTATAGCTCAGTGGTAGAGCGTCAGTCTTGTAAACTGAAGGTCTGTAGTTCAATCCTGCATGGGGGCATAAATGCATTTATAATTATTATTAAATCATCCACCAACTCCTCTAACAATAAACAGAATAGGAATTTGAAGGGTATAAAATGCATTCTCAGAAACTGGTCTCAATTATATATGAGATGCAAAATCTCACTGTTCAGTGTATATTTATGACTCATCATCTCATTTTAAAATTACGGTCCGTTTGGAAAGCAGGAAAATGACTTCTGGAAAATGAGTCATTTTTCAGAAAACATTTTCCTTTCCAGTGTTTGGTTGCATTTTGGAAAATTGTTTTTGTGTGTTTGGTTCATTTTCTGGAAAATGAGTAGAATTGTATAATTAAATATTTTAATTATTTTATTTAGAATATTACAACATGTATAATAATATAATAATAATTTTAAATATAATAAAAAATAACTAATAATATATCAAAAATATTGTGGTGGTGTTATTTGTTATATAATAATAATAATAATAATAATAATAATAATAACTGGTGGTGGTATGACGGTGGTAGCAGTGGTGGTGTGGTGGCGGTGGTATGGTGGTGGTGGTGGCGGCGACGATGGCGGCGGCGGTGGTATGGTGGTGGTGGCGGCGGCGGTGGTCTGGTGGTGGTGGTGGCGGCGACAATGGTGGTTGCGGTAGTATGGTGGTGGCGGCGGCGGTAGTGGTTGCTGTGGTATGGTGGTGGTGGCGGCGGCGGTGGTATGGTCGTGGTGGTGGCGGCGTCGGTGGTGTGATGGTGGTGGCGGTGGCGGTGGTATGGTGGTGGTGGTGGCGGTGGTATGGTGGTGGTGGTGGTGGTGGTGGCGGCGACGGTGGTTGCAGTGGTATGGTGGTGGTGGCGGTGGTAGTGGTGGTGGTGTGATGGTGGTGGTGGTGTGGTTGCGGTGGTATGGTGGTGGTGGCGACGGCGGTGGTGTGATGGTGGTGGTGGTATGGTGGTGGTGGCGGCGGTGGCGGTGGTGGTGGCGGCAACGACGGTGGTTGCGGTGGTATGGTGGTGGTAGTGGCAGTGACGGTAGTGGTGGTGGTAGTGGTGGTGGTGTGATGGTGGTGGTGTGGTGGCGGTGGTATGGTGGTGGTGGCGGTGGTTGCGGTGGTATGGTGGTGGTGGCGGCAGCGACGGTGGTTGAGGTGTTATGGTGGTGGTGGCGACGGCGGCGATGGTGGTAGTGGTGGTGGTGGCGGCGACGGTGGTTGCGGTGATATGGTGGTGGTAGTGGTGACGACAGTGGTGGTAGTGATGGTGGTGTGGTGGCGGTGCTATGGTGGTGGTGGTGGCGGCAACGATGGTTGCGGTGGTACGGTGGTGGTGGTAGTGGCAGCGGTGGTGGTGGTGGTGGTATGATGTTGATGGTGGTAGTGGTGGTGGTGTGGTGGCGGTGGTGGCGGCGGCGGCAGTAGTGGTGGTGATGATGGTGGTATAATGTTGATGATGTTGGTGTAAAAGTTGGAAAATGACTTCCCCCCAAAAAAAGGGGAAGTCATTTTCCTCCAAAACAAGCTTATTTTCCAAAGTCAATGGAAAATGATTTCCGTTGACTTGATTTTCCAAGCACATCCAAACAATGAAAACTTGGAAAATGATTTCCAGAACTCATTTTCCAGGTTTCCAAACACACCCTTATATTATTCCATTCAACCACTAGCAATTAACAAAGATTAATGTAACAAAATTATTGGTCACATTTTATTCTTATTTAGTAGAGAAAAGCTGTCAAATTACAGAATCAACAATGCATGGCTTTCATCGATCGCATCTTTAATATATTATCCTACTTTTAATCCTAAGATCACATATAATCACAGTTTTATATTTTATCCTCCACTTTTTATTTAACCACATTGCTACCTCAATTATTCCGCTAAAAAATTCAGATTCATGTCAATAACTCATAGTAATAACAACAACAATAATGATAATAGTTGTTTTTGTTTAACCACAGGCTTTCTCGATCAACTAATCGACTAATAACCACACACCTTACTGATCGTGCTGGATAGAATCTCAAAGATGACAAAACAACTCCTCATATAAAGTAGTTGTATTCTTAAAACTCGAACTAAAGATCTTTGGTTAAGTATTAATTTCACATTTTAACATTTGTATATTATTATTATTATTATTATTATTATTATTATTATTATTATTATTATTATTATTATTATTATTATTATTATTATTGTTATTATTGTTATTATTATTAGGAATAAGGGTCAAATAGGCCACTGAACTATACACCAAGTTACAATTAGGCCATCGAACTCAAAAAAATACAATTGGGTCCCTGAACTACACAAATTCATGCAATTAGGTCTAAAATGACCTGTTTACCTGATACTTTGTTGACGTGAAGGTTGTGAATTTTAAAAATAATTTTAAACAAAAAAATAATTAAAAAAAAAAACGGTTGGAGACGAATCGTCTCCGGTCGTCCTTCGTCTCCATGGCTAGAGACGAAGGTCTTCGTCTCCTGCCATGGACTGCCATGGAGACGAAGGACGGCCATTCTGGTTTTTTTTTTTTTTTTTTTTTTTTTTTTTTAAATTTTGTTAAAAATTATTTTTAAAATCCGCAACCTACTTGGCAGGTAAACAGGTCATTTTGGACTTAATTGCATAAATTTGTGTAGTTCAAGAACTTAATTGCATCTTTTTTAAGTTTGATGGTCGAATTGTAGTTTGGTGTGCAATTCAGTGACCTATTTGACCCATATTCCTTATTATTATTACAAAATTTTAGCAAGTTTATTCAACGGTCTATGCTAAGACCAGTAGTCAGTAGTGGCATGGTTTCTAGACGAAAGCAGATTCTATTTCTTTAGATTCAAAGTCAAAAATTCTCCTGCCAATCCCCATTCCCACTACTTTAATTTGAAGCATTCAACATATATGCAGCCATGCATATATACCTTTTTCATTAGGTAACATCTTTTTGCCCTTTTTGCTGCGGGCTTTGAATTATTCTTATTCTTGTTATGTTTCCCAATATAAATACAATAAACGTGGACCTAATCCTAGTGGGTTGAGTAATATCAGGAATTAAATGAGATTGAATCAGATCAACTGATGATGATCCAGATTATATATATTTTCTCATGTTCTAATTAACTTCTAAATTTCTAATGCAAATTTTGTGGGCTAGTTTGTTATCTTTTTGCACCTATATGACTTTTTTAAAAAAAAATTCATTGGGGTGTTTGGCAAATGGTTGATATCTGATTCAATTAGCTTGTTTGACCAACTGATAGTTTAGCTAGTTGTGAAATAAGTGTTTGGTAAATTGATTGCTTACTTTTAGCTGATTGTATGTAAAATGATCTATAAAAGCATAAACATATTGTAGTAATAATTTATTAACTATTAAATTACTTCTACAATATTTATTTATTTATTTTATTATTATTATTATTATTATTATTATTATTATTATTATTATTATTATTATGAGTGAAATAAAAACGAAAAAAAAACATTATTATTGTTATGGAAACAAAAAGAAAAAAGAGGCGAGCAAATGAACAACAACGAGAGAGATTAATGTTAGGGATGATAAGGGTAAAATAATCATTTCATAATTAAGGTCAATCAGCTAACCAAAAACTTAACTCTTCTTAGCTTTTCATATTTTGGCTTAGTGTTCCAATAAGCTATTTTACCAAACACACTTAAAGTACCCTATTGACCCATCAAACTAGCCAAAATTGGCTTATTAGCTATGTTAACAAACAGGACTCTAATTTCTTTTTTAAATACTTGAAAGTTGAAACATATTGAAATCTCTAAATTTCAAATATTTTCAAAATAAAAACTTATCAAAATGAGTTGACAAACTCATATAATAGTTTTGAACTTTCAAAAAATGGTTATCCTTAAAAGACTTGATGGCATAATTATGGCATGTGGTCCATGTAGCAGCCCATATGGTGTGTAGGCTCAACCCATTGAGATCCGCCCAAGTCTAACTAAGAGTACGTTTTGATAAAGAGAGAGAGCTAGTCCATTTCTTATTGTTAAGGGACGTCACATTATTGCACCTGAAAGACATTTTTTTTTTTTTAATATTACTGACTTTATTACAATGCAGTGTTATTCATAATTACTTTCTCAATCTATTGAAGCACAAAGAGTCAATATTACTTCCAGAGATTCGATCTCACAAACTCCCATATGAGAGCAAGGTGCCTCTGTACTAGACCACTAGAATTTCCTCATCCAAACAAAACGAGTTAATTCCAGCAATGGTCCTCCGACTATATTGATTTTCCAAAATTAGTCCCCGACTTTTAATTTGAACACTTTAGGTCCTTTGACTTTCAATTTCTTTCCAATTGAGGTCCTTTCATTAGAATACGGTTAATTGGATTTTAAATGAACGAGTAAGCACGTCCTTTCACCTTCCTATGTATTATTCTTCGTATTTCGCCGCTAAGGACCTAAAGTGTCCAAATTAAAAGTCAGAGACTAATTTTGGAAAATCAATATAGTCGGAGGACCATTACTGGAATTAACTCAAACAAAACCAAGGAAACAGAGCCAAATATTACAACATCAATAATATATGTAGAACAAACAGAACCAAATATTACAACATCAATAATATATGTAGAACAGGAAGATGACAAAACAATTAAGAATTGAAATTAAGGTTTCACAGTTGTTTTAATTTAATAATTTCATTCGGTTGATGCAATGCAGCATATGCATGCGCTGAAGAAGGCCTTTGCCTTTGGCTTTCCATTTCCTTTCAACTTTGTCTCTGCAGCCCAATAATCCATATCATCAGAACCAAAACTCTCCTGCGTTTTCTCATCATTCCCATTATTGTTGTTCAGAAATGGAGCTTCAGATTTGGCGTCGTAGTCTACTGAGTTCCGGCCATATCTGGTTCGGATGATCCTGTCCTGGAAGTCATTAATGGATAAGCTTCTAACCGGCGTCTTGCGGAAAGGATGAAGCAATAATGGCGTTTCATCAAACCCTGATGAAGCCTTTGCACTTGCAGCATCAAAGGGAACTCCAAAATCGAAGCTTGGAGATTTCCCAGTACTCCTCCCAATCTGCAGATTCCATGTTTGATGATCGCCATTGCCGAACCTTCTCTCGCTTTCTTCCATTTTCAAATGAATGGCAGGCAACAGAGCTGTAATCCCATTTTTGGATAATGCTTCATCACAAACTCCATTCCCTGCTGCCATGTCAAAAGCGCCGCCATGAATATCATCTATGGCCAACATTTTCTTGAGCATGTCATTGTAGTTGAGAAAGGAGGTTTTCGTGCTAACTCCCTCGGAGATTTTAGAATCTTTCTTCAAGTCTGGAAGTTTCTCATTCATTCTTGGATCTTCTTGTTCATGATGCATTGGCACTAATCTAACTTCTTCAGCATTTTGAAGTTTTCCGGCAGGATCTGAAACTGCATCTAGTTTACCATGAAAACCTACAGGGATTTCCTCTGCTAAAGAAGCCATTTCTATCACCACTGCATCATCATTTTCCTTAGCTTGTCCGGCAATCTGAAAATTGTGTATTATTGAGTCATTTACTACATACTAATTGAACTTGGGGATATAGAGTATCTAACATATAAATTATAAATGTGCAGTCTCACTATCAGTTTAAACTTTTTGTTGTAACAGAACACATCAATATGTCCACGGACTATCATATTAACAACGGAACCAAGTTGGTTGGGTTGTTGACTTGATAACTACAAGATTACAAGTTTAACATCCAACGGGAGCAGTCTATTAGTCTTTCTTGGTTTGAGCTAGTCAGCTTTGAGCAACCTAGGCTGGTTTACCAGTTCACCCCGCAAATAGTTGTTGAGGGTTTCCTTGTCAATCAAAAAAAAAAAAAAAAAATACTGAAAATGGCATTGGATCTCCATTTCATCTTTCTCTAAAGATGAAAATCTAGTAGATTGAATGAGAAGTATAAAGTGAGACTAGTATACTTACTGTTCCAAAAGAGGTCAACTTTTCAATATTGGGCTCAATAGCAGGAGATGGATGATGGAAGATAAATTTGCAGCGTATAAACTTGATGAATGGAAGATAGTTGTGAAAACTGGATCATACATATATATGTGTTAACAGAAGATATAGGTTAATTAGATTTAGTGAAGTTTAAGAGGATCAGATGCTATAATACACGAAGAGTAGAGGCAATTCATAAGTATTGCTTCAAGTATAAGGGTGTGTTTGAGTGAATATAATTATGAGTGGAGAATAATGATGTGTTTAGGAGACACAAGATGCTGGCATGCCCTTACGTTACTCGTATTTCTCCACTCTATTCTACCTCGCCATTATGCCACCCATTCAGACGCCGCAATCTTTGGGGACACTCCTACGTTTTTTTTTTTCTTATTCTGAGTACTATTGACCCTGTTACATGTACTATCTATTCATATATATTTTCTCAATCTACTGAAACTAAATGAGTCAATATTGCCCTCACTAAAATTTCCATTTGAGAAGTCACTCCATGTCATTTGACCACAAAATCTTTGGCACACTCCTACTTTTATTTCTACCAAAATAAAAAATAAATCGTAATTACTCAGTCGCTACTCCCTAGTCTAATACTTAGTGGAGTGGAGTCATTCCCACAAGAGGTCTGATCTATATGTTAATACTCGAGAATCAATTAAGCTACCTATGAGGGCCGATCTAGCTTGCTCTCTTCTCCTTTGGGATATCTAAGGACGATGCGCAGCCTAACTAACCTACTCAAACCAAGAAGATCAATAGACCATTTTTAGTGAGAATAAACTTGAAATCTTGTAGTTATTAAGTTAACAGTCTGACCAACCTGGTTAGATTGAACTTGAAACCTTAATTACCAAACTAACAGTCCAACTAACTTGGATGGGGTTAGCCAACAACACATTTTGAATATACTAAATAATGATTTATACATTACAATCACTAGGTACAATGTCTTAAATAATTATTTGCAAGTTACGTGCCCCTAAAATATGAGTTAAAAAACCGTTAGTATGATGAAAACTTAAAATAAAATTAAGCTTGTTATCCTAAATCATCTTATAAAGAAATTCAAACCGATAATACTAGAGGAATTGTGTAATTACATTAATATGTGAAGTTTCTTTTGTCATATACTATATAGTGGAGGTTGCAAGTTACAAACTCCTTGGCAGCACCTCCTTAGTATATTTGCTTCCTTTTTTAGCGGCAAATTATATCGTGGACCAGAGTCTATAGTGCACTGTGGACCTCTGTCCAATACACAGAATTTGACTGTACTTTATAATGCACAGAATTATATTCATGCTTATAATGCAATACACATAAACAATGCATAGAATTCATGTTTATTATATCTTATTTATGTGTATGTGTATTATGAACATGAATTCTGTTCATTATGAACATGAATTCTATATATTGGACCAGGGTCTACAGTGCACTGTGGACCCTAGTCCACGATATAACGATTGCTTCTTAACAATATAAAAATGGGTGTCCCATCCGGTCAAGACTTTCTCAATCAAATAAGTCCCCAAATAAAAATATACACCCCTTGGGCCAAAACTTTGAAAACTATAAAGGGATTTAACTTTGAAAATAAATTTCAAATTACAAAGAATGAGGCACAAACATGCATCAAAATACTGCAATTTTGAAGTCAACACAGAAAACTACCCTTTAGCTAAGAAAAGAATTATGGCACAAGAAAGATAGCAATGCATTATTCTTCATGAAATCACAACAAAGTGAACCAGCCTATGACAACCTTTCACATCCACACACTTTGCACAACAAAGGAATCATCTTTGGCACAACTATACTATACACAGGTGGCCAAATTGTGTTTTGACAGCTTCCCAGATGTGGCACAATACATATTCGTATAACTAACACCGCACCTTCAAACTGAAGCGGGTTCACGGACCCTGCCATTTTCTACTGGAGCCAAGCTATCATAGTAGTCAACCAACACTTTCCATCCCCCGGGGCACATAAATCCATCTGGAGGGTTTTCCTTGTTCTTTGCCAGTGTTCGCATCTACAATAAGGGGATCGCGTTAGTTATATACAGAGCATAAGCAAAAAGAAATGTATGACATTGCATTGGTGTTATGCATTTTCCTAATTTATGAAAATAACCAAAAAGAGATACCTTGGTGCCAGAAATGAAAAGAAAATCTTGAGGCCTTGATGGATCAAAGAATGCCATTTTATTCTGAGTCTTGTCATATGCAGCAACCTACAGGACGAAAATTAATATTGAGAAAAGCTTCAAAATATATAAGTTCGTATAAACGGTGGTGGTGGTGGTGTGGTTTCTAGGTACCTTAAAAGGCAAGATATTAAGGCGCTCTAGGCCAGGTGCCATTGACAACACCTTCTTCCCGTGATCTGCATCATATAAATCTCTCTTCTCGACTGGATGCCCCATTCCAGCTGGATCACGGCCAACAATGTAGAAATTAGCACCCGCATTTATACGAGCCTTTGCATGCCATTGCACCTCAGTCGGGCCAGCATAGTGCATGGGCGATGGGAATATAGAAACCACAGTAGTTTCAGGATCAAGCACACCATCTTCAAGAACCTGAGATCAGAGCTATCAACACAAAACCAGAACACCACGCACACCAAGTATAACAACATTGCTACGCCTCATTTAATGATGTTTCAATGATTTACACCCACAATATGTTAAGAGAATGAAGCAGCTGTCACGTGTGAGAGCTTATAGCAGTTAGCTCTAATACCAAATTGAAACATGTGCTCCATCTCAACTATAAGTCTAAGCTGATAGCTGAACTACACATTGAGCACAATGCAATGTAGAGCATGATATAATTTGCAACCAAAACATGGTTTTCGAGAGGCATAAAACCTAGTACAATCCAATCACACATGTAACATGTTCGAGCCACAAAGATAGTTATAGCGAGAATTAAAAGAAGTAACTCGAACCAACCTTCTCGTGTTGCTTCATTCGCCACTGAAGTGGAACATCATCCGCCTTCGTATAACCCCCGAGGGGGTGGAGCAAAAGGACAGGGTTCTTATACCCCATCTCAAGAAGCCTGCGGCGAGTATCTGTCATCAATAGAGCATGTCCATTGTGGACTGGATTCCTGAGCTGAAAGGCAAACACAGCATCTGCATTTCGCCTGGAGAATTCGTCTCGAAGCTCTGCTGGGGAAAGCCTGAACCTATCAAGACCATCATGGTACTTGACCCGCTCTATAACTTCCAAATCCCCACCAATTAGCCAGTTCCCAGAATTAGTTATAGCTTGCTCAACGTATGGCAAACCTGGGGCAGTTGTGCCCCAAGTTCTTGCTATCCTTTCTTCTTTATTATGCTTATATATCTCTATACTGGAATCAACCCAAAAACACAAATTATCAGAAATTCTATCATAAATTCATAGACCTAGGGCAAGCTTCAAAATGAAATTATTGGGCTTACTCGTTGAGAATGGCTATGGTCCGGTGTTGATCGTCGACAAGGGCGACGCTGCTCGACTCGCCGATCCGGGTCTTCTGGGCGTCGTCAATGGCGAGCACGATGGGCACAGACATATTGACGAGGGAGCCGTCGCCGAGTCGGAGCGAGTTGAAATGAAGAGTTTGGAGGAACTCGCGCTCTCTCATGAAGCCTCGCAATGGGCTGGCCCAGCCTTCGCTGAGAACGTGGAGCCATTGGAGGTCGATCTTGGAGAGCTCGATTCGGGGTAAACCCAGTGCCAGATTCTTCTTCCCTTCTCTCTCTGATTCCTCGACGAAAAGCTCCACGAGCTTCCCGCCGTCGGGTTGTATCAGCGCGCATGAAACTCGGGTCCTGGGTCGGGCCCTGTGCGCGACCCGGGGTGAGAGGGAGAGGTTGAAGGCTTGGACAAATTGGGTTTTCAGCGGTTTCGGCGAATATCGAGTGGAAGCGGGAGTTTGAAGGAAAAGTGAAGCCATGGCCGCCATGTGAGATTGAAGAAGAAGCTGTGTCTGCAACAATGGGAGGTTTTAGGGAGGAGGGAGATTGAGGGATGCTTTTAGAAATTCAAGAATTTCAAGGGCCTCAAAGGTGTAAACAAAAAGATTCTGGCCTCTTGGATGATTTAGAGGCCAAGATTATCGATCGGTAGTATATATGAAGGATTGGGAGGATGAACCTAGACACTTTAATGGCCATGGCTCCTTGAAAATATTTCTAAAGGAACCATGCAAGAAGGATCCAATTTAATCACTCAATATGTCATCTTATTACCAAATTTAATTTAATCTTAATTGTTATAAAAATAATAAACTTTATAAAAAAAACGAAAATTATTGTCTCAGTATCAACTATTTTAGTTTCTCTATTAAAGTATGATGATCTTTTTTTATTCTTAATTTGTTTCATAATAAGATGATTTTGGTTAATAGTAGGTTGATAGTCATTGACTTCATCATTTATGGTATAAGTAATTTTTACTATCGCTTTGTGATACATAATTTGTGGTATGACTTCTTCACATAATTTTATTTATTTACTACCGTTTTGTGATTAGTGTACCACCATTTTAGATTCATTGATTATTTATACATTTTTAAGTTTTGATACAAATTAATCAAAACCATTGGCATTTGATTGGTACAAATTTTAAAAGAAAACAAAATTATCCTATTACTTTTTAGAATTTTAGTCGTGTCCAATTGCTTCTTATTAAACACAATCACAAAACTTTAATAAACTTTAATACTCAAGGTGTTAATAGAGTGGCGATTTTAGTTGTTTTGTTAAAAGTTTCCGTTACTCTTTAGACATTTTTTTTTTCAAAAAAAGAAGGTTTTAATTATTGATAAGAAGTCCGGGAGGCCGCGAACCCCCGAAAGTCATACATCAAGGCAACTTGAATCGAGTTCGGCAAAGAATTAAATATAAAGAACATAAAGGAATGGAGTAATTCAAACCAAGCAAAGTTAATGCATGAGCAACAGAGTTAGCCACGTGATAAACATGAGAGCCAACGAAGGACTAGAAGTGCTCCTAGTTTGGATCACCATCATTGTGTCATGTCACCTTTACTTAAAATCTTTAGCAATTGATTCACAAATCTCTAACACCACCAAACAAGAAAGTAACAATAGAATTTATTCATTTTTTTTTCCTTTGACTTGGGTGACATTCTCATACTTAATATTTATTTGGAATAAGGTTCAAATTGGCCACTGAACGTAACCTGAAAATGCAATTAGGCCACTGAACGAAAAAAAAAAGTGCAATTAGGCCACTGAACACTCCAAAAATGTGCAATTTCACCTGATAGCAGGTTACCCTCAATTTTAGCAGGTTATCTGCTTACGTGGCAGCTGAGTTGGCATTTTTAATAAATTTTAATTAATTTTTAAT